TATATATATATATATGTATAACTATATAAGATACTGTAGTGATTTTACTAGTTATTGTTATTATTATTATAATATCATGTAGGTATAACCAATAACAGGTTATTGTAAATAATTATATAATAATATAATAATTATTGCTGTTRATGTTGCCTAAACTCTGTTCAAGCTAAGAAACATAGACATACAGATTTGTGTACAATGGCATGGCAATACCACATGACAGGTATACAAATAGTTGACTCGGTAGGGAGCGACAGAACGTATGTTACCTGACTGCTCCAATGAAAACTGGTCACCACCAACTACATTTCTTAACTTGAATAAAGTATAGATAGATATTTCATTGTTTTGGTTATGTCACACCAATAAAACTTTTTCTCAAATAAATTATTCAATGAAAATGACACTAACATAAGTRACAATTACTAATTAAATAAGAAAGCGACTCATATTATTATTATATAGTTATTGCTGTTTATTTTTTATATACTATTAAAAAATTATAAAAATGCTTGATATAAAAACATTATCTGTGGTACATCACTATCATAAAATATACTATTTAATAATTAATAATTACCATAAATTATGTTTTTCAATTTTATTACTTAAGAGTAATATTACAAATAAATTATTAACTACATTGTGATAAAAAAAAACCCCTGGTTGCATACAAAAAATAAAATAAGAAGCTTTTCAATAGAACAATAAGTATTATACTTAAAAATACATACATAATTTAAGTGTAATTTAATTTGTTATGTTATTAATTAAAATAGTAGTAAAATGATACCTATGCTATGAATATTTAATATATTGTATAATATTTTGTTGGTATATTTTATCATAACTTTAAAAGAAAAAATTCATATTCATGAAATCTTCAGGATACATGAGTATATTGTTAGTAATTTAAATACATTTTTTTTTTTTTATGGACGACAATTAATAATTAATTCATAACTTGATTTATACCTAGTTACCAACTTTTATAAAACCAGTTAAACAAATTTAAAAAAATTTAATATTCTTACAAATAACTTTAAAAATACTCTTAATATTGTTTTCGACAAACCAAATATTTCAATGATAATTTATAAGAACATAAATAAATCTGTAGAAAATAATACTATTCGACAATACATTTTATTATTTTACCTTATTAAAATTAAATGCTGATACTTATATACTTAATAAAAAAATAATAATTGTGAAGTACCAAATACAATTTTGAAATAATATTCTTGTTTTGAGGTTATTGTTTCAATAAAGATTAAATAAATTGTTAGTTAAATTACACTCTTTTGCGGTCAGTAAGCACTCTGATTATACTACCAGCTCCGCCAAGCGCATAGGCTTTTTCATGCCACATAAGAAGATGACTGCTTTTTTTCTCAGTTGACTTTTCAAATCCTTTATAAATATACTTCATAAGAATATCAACCATGTCAACATCTAACTGTGCAACAACTTCATCTATTTGAGATAGTTTGGTGGCCAGAAGAACTTTCATTACAACATTTAAGGCATTGTCCTAAAAAGAAGATGATAAAGTATAATTTTTTTAAATAAAAATTGAATGATAAAATGTACCCTTAATTGTTGGTTTTTTGATCCTAAAGGTGCATTTTTCAACGCAGATTTCAAAGCATCAGCAAAACGACCTCTGTACAAACTAATAAGGAAAATCTCAAATTCAATAATAATTCATACTGCACTATAAAAAAATAAAAATGGTAGGTACTATTTAATATAATTTAAGAATTTATATTTTTATTAAGGAATCTGAGGGAAATATCTATATAGTTCTGTACAAACATTATTAAATTTATATAAATTTATACCAATATGGTAGAACCCTAAGCCATTTAAACCCTAATTTGCTTATTGCTATGGTATTTTTCAATTTTTGTAATGATTCTTATACATGTACCTATTATAATTTAATTTAATAATCACTTA